CCCTTCCCTGACAGATTCAGGGAGGGGCGTAGCCCCCCCTGAATTTGGAATTTTTTGTTCCTATTTTCAGAATAGCTTCTCAATAGCATGCATAAGGGAAAGACACCCTAGTGCAAAACAGGAAAAATATCTGTCTTAATAAACTATAATGTGTGAAAAGTTAAAAATCTAGTTTTTTAGTCTTTAGTCATTAATTTTGACTCTTTTCGCCTGCGACGCGATTTTTTGTTCCTAATCATGAATTTTTTTGTTCCTAAAAAATCTAGCTCCCCCCTCACTTAAATCCTGTATCCGCCCCTGTGTTCAATTCACACATTTTTAGTTTCATTGTAAAAAAAATAACTTCCAGGGGCTGTAAGAGTAATAAATACATGAAAACATGGCAATGCCAGATTCACAACCCTACCCTTAAATGCGTTGTGTCTGATAAAGTATGAATTTAAACTGTTGGTTTAAACTCAGTATTTTTTTATGTTTATTTTGATTTGTGTTTTATCTGCAAAAGTAACTTGCGGATTTATACAGCAGAGTCGAGGAAGGAAATTAACGGAATTTATCTATTTACAAAATATGCTAATTCGTAATTGGGTTTGGAACATGAAATACAATAGTTAGCTGACAAAAGTCGTTTATACAGCTCTAACATTTAGTGTTGATAATGATCCAAACCTTATAGAGTAAATAAAGTAGGTGTCAGTTCCACATATATAATAATATATATTTCAATCTGGGTTGGTCCTCTTCAGTTTCAAACCTTATAATGAAAATCAAATTAAAAGCTGCAAAAAATCACAAGAAAATAAATTGAAACAACATTTTCTATTAATGGTGGTCAGAACAGCGTTGAGCTTAGTTTGCTAGTATTATCGCCCCCCCCCCCCTTTCAATATCTTGAAATTTTGCTAAACATGACGCTGGAAAAATGTTTTAAAGACTTTACTTGAAGTTCAAATTGTATTCTAATATGGCTGGGGAGTTAAACTACCTATCCTAAGAAAATGTAAAATGTGGATAAAATTGTCTAAACTTGGATAATTTTCAAACTAAAATCTTAATTTTGAAAAAGAAATTGAACTTTGTGAAAATTTTGCACAAGTTTTTATCTGAAGAAAATAAATGAGAGTTAAATTTAGCTCAGTTGGTTTCTTGATAATGTTTTCTCACCTTTAAACTAACCTTTCTATCCCACTATCCCCCCTGCCTCCCTATCCAATCCCACCCCCCTAAAAATCCTAATTCTCCCCCTATCTTACTATCTAACCAACCTCTCCCTCCCTATCCTACTACCCCCTCCATCCCTATCCAACCACCCCCTCACTCCCTATTCAACCAACCACACACTCCCTCCCTATGCCACTAGCCCCCTCCCTCCCTATCCATCCCTTCCCCCATCCTGACCTAATTCTAAAATCCCTCCCTCCTTCCCACCATAATCCCTCCCTCTCAAATTCATCCATAATTCCCTCTCCATTCTTCTCTCCCCTCAAATTCTCCCTTAACCTCTAATACCCCCCTTTTCGTTTTTCATGAATTAAAACTTTTTTTAATTGGAAATGAGATTTTATTTAACTGTCAAATCGACAACTTGTTGGAAATCAAAAACTTTATACATTTTGAAACCATACTCAATTATTTATTCTTTAAGTAGTTTTTGTGTTTTATATTTCCTTACATTTTACATAAAGTCATTTTTTTCAAACAAATATTTTTCTAGAAAATTAAAAACACAGTTTAAACCAATATGTTAGAAACCTTCTTTTTGTCTACAGTCGCAGTTATTACCTGTATGACTTTGTAACCTCGTAACTTCTCTAATTTTGATTTTACCTACATCGAAAAGTAAACAATTACCAAGTTACATATAAGATACTAGGCTTTCATGGGATCCGCGCTCATCTTCTATTTCAATTTTGAACAATTTCTCTTGTATACATTGTAAAACAATAATAAACTAAATTTCGAGGATTTTCAAGATTTAATAATTTAAGGCTAATTTTTGAAATTGTGATCATCAATAAACCTTTCCAATCAAAATTTAGGCCAGATCGCTTCAGCCGTTTTGACGTTTATTGGATACAAACAAACAGACAGACAAACAAGCGAAGAATATATATATATATATATATATATTCATAAAACTTTCTTCTTCTCAAAAGCTCTTCAACTAGAGGAATCATGATAGAAAACTCTTCCATGCATTTGCGTCAGGTTGACGGGGCTCCTTTTGTACGCAGGCCGCGTAATTTTTGGCCAGTCTCATACAACCTAATATTCGTTTTGTTGTTTTTAGTCTATAATTTCATAACTTATTTGGTTAAAGGGAGTGACCGGCTATGTAAGGTAGTTGAACTGAGTATGCAGTGTTGTGGAAAACTTCTTTAGGATTCATTTGAGACATATTTCACTTTTTAAAGATCTGTAAATCCTGAGTTTGAGCGCAAATTTGACGTTCACAACTCCTGATTTGGGGGTGGATACGCTTTCAGAATTATTTTTTTTTAAATTATTAAATAACGACAACGAAAAATAAAGTAAAAATTATACAGTAATCTAATTAGATGGCTAGGAACATATTTCACAAAAGAAATTTGTCAATAAATCAATGCTAAAATCGATTATTTCGTTTTCATTATTATATTTAATTTCCAATTTTCTTTGAATTTATTCGCAGATTTCTTTAAATTTTTTAAATGTCGTCTTTTCAATAATAATTATAGAAAATCTGCGAACATACTTTTGAATAATGAGGAACCAGAATAATGAGATAATAGAAACTAATAATTGAACAAGATTACTTATTTTCGATGGTAAGATTAATTTTTATTTTCTCAAAATGTTCCTTTACATGACGTCTGTAGTTTATTGTAGAATATTTTTACATTTTATGTCGTCGTTAATTAGTAATTTAAAAAAAAACTAATTCTGAAAACGTATCCACCCCCAAATCAGGAGTTTTGAACGTCGAATTTGCGCTCAAACTCAGGATTTACAGACTTTTAAAAAGTGAAATATGTCTCAAATGAATCCTAAAGAAGTTTTCCACAACACTGCGTCCTCAGTTCAACTACCTTACATAGCCGACAACTCCCGTTAAAGGCTTTTATTTTTTTTCCGTTTAATCAAATACGAAAACAAATGAAAAGGCATTTTTTGTAACTTTAATTGACCCTCTCCATGTGAAGAGCGCCCTGTCAGATTCGTGGCAGTATCTTCACACCTTTTTTTCAATGATCAATGATAGGGAAAATATCATGTTTTTTGCTTGAAAGTTTGATTCTACAATTGCTTCGAAATTTCAAGTAGCATATTCATGGTTAAACCACAGTTAGAAATATTCATTTTTTTAAAGAGAAAAACGTGCATATCTTATTCGTTCTAGGTCAGAGAAAGATTGAGAACAGTTGTGAATCGAAAATACCGAACTAAATCACATGAAATTCCATCTACACTCCCTTTAATAGTTGAATACACACTCCCTTTAATAGTTGAATATACACTCTCTTTAATAGTTGACTATACATTCCCTTTAATAGTTGAATCTACACCCCCTTTAAAAGTTGAATCTACACTTCCTTTAATAGTTGAATAAACATTCCCTTTAATAATTGAATCTACACTCCCTTTAATAGTCTAATATCCACTCACTTTAATAGTTGAATCTACACTCCCTTTAAAAATTGAATCTACACCCCCTTTAATAGTTGAATCTACACTCCCTTTTATAGTCGAATATTCACTCCCTTTATTAGTTGAATCTTCACTCCCTTTAATAGTTGAATATACATTCCCTTTAATAGTTGAATCTACACTCACTTTAATAGTTGAATCTACACTCCCTTGAATAGTTGAATCTACACTCCCTTTAATAGTTGAATCTACACTCCCTTTAATAGTTGAATATACACTCCCTTTAATAGTTGAATATATATATACACTCCCTTTAATAGTTGAATCTACACTCCCTTTAATAGTTGAATCTACACTCCCTTTAATAGTTGAATCTACACTCCCTTGAATAGTTGAATATACACTCCCTTTAATAGTTGAATATACACTCCCTTTAATAGTTGAATCTACACTCCCTTTAATAGTTGAATCTACACTCTCTTTAATAGTTGAATATACATACACTCCCTTTAATAGTTGAATCTACACTCCCTTTAATAGTTTAATCTACACTCCCTTTAATATTTGAATATATATACACTCCCTTTAATAGTTGAATCTACACTCCCTTTAATAGTTGAATTCAAAGTTAGTGTCTAGAAATACCTAAATAAATGAAAACGACCATGTAGTTAAAAATATTTAACATGCATCCCTTTTGCTAATAATTAATTCTGGGTTGATGCAACTATAGCTCTGGAATCTAAATTCACAGATTGCAATTTAGATATTTTCCTCGTTTCATTTCGTTTCCAAACATTACAATTTGAATATTCAAATAAGTTAAATGTTTTAAACATTCAAGACTTTTATTAATGTAAATAGATAAATAGTGTGCACTTATTAGAAATAGATAAATAGTGTGCACTTATTAGAAAATCACTTTAAACATTCAAGACTTTTATTAATTTAAATAGATAAATAGTGTGCATTTATTAGAAATAGATAAATAGTGTGCACTTATTAGAAAATCACTTTAAACAATCCAATTCTTGGAATTAAGAACAAAATAAAGACACTTTATCCATAGCATTTAAGATTTTACTTTTTGTGTTATCTGGCGAAGAGAATTGGGTTTCTGGCAAAGAGAATAGGGTTTCTAGCAATAAGAATCAGGTTTCTGGCAAAGAGAATCGGGTTTCTGGCAAAAAATTATTTTGAAAGAATGTATCGATCATGATCTCAGGGACATATTCGAGTTGTGAAATTAGTTTTGTTGTGTAACAAACTCCAATAATTGGAATAATAATGGATATTTCAAATCCCTTTGATTCTAAACAATTTGATAATTAATGTTGCAAAGAATTGAATAATTAATAAATTGATGATTTTAGATACCGAGGACATATAATAGTGATGTCTGCTCAGAGCCTTCCAATAATCCTTGAAGAGGTAATTTATATTAAAAATAACAAGATATCAATTCATTACAAAAATTGCCCAGACGAAAGGTACATTGTGTCCCACGAAACATGAGAGTTCAGAGACGAATTGACTATTGTCTTTAATCTTTAAATAATTGAAATCTCCGTAATTTTGACGAGCACAAAATAAATTAGGCAATGCCAGGACAATGTGAACATTTCCAAATATTTTATTTGTAAAATTTTTAAACGAATACATGCCGTAAATTTTATCAAAGTCAAAACGATCTTTAAGTCGTTTCTCAACTGTCTTGTTTCAAGGGACACCCTGTATATTCGGTCGTAGGCGATTATATCAATATAATGAAGACGACTTTTTTATTTACATGTTTTTGTGTATACATGCTGTTTAAAAGTGTGATATAAATCATAATTGAAATCGAAAGTAGTCTTCATTATATTGATATAATCGTCTACCACCGTATTTACCTAGTTTGTTGGTTGTTATTTTAATTTTTTATCCAATCGAGCCGATCAAAGGATTGAACAATTTATATAATAAAATTTTCATGTTTTTTGTAATTGTTTAAATATTTCAGGATAGATTCAGTTATAAGCAGATTCAGCATTCTAAACCAAAAAGGAAGAAGAAACGAGAATAAAGAAGAAAAACACAAGATAGAATTGTAGAATAAAGAAAGAATCTTAAAATGAATTACAAAATTTAGAATTTGAGACGATTTGTTTGATTTTTTTATTATCATTAGAAAAATCGATATCTATATAAGAACGTCCATAAAAGGTTGACTTTTGAGTTACGCAATGGAAAATAATAGAGTTACGCAACGGAAATTTGAGTTACGCAACGGAAAAGATTGAAAAGTTTTTGTAGTTTTAACGTGAAGGTAAAATTAATTGCGTATAAAAAAATTATAAATAGTTACAAATAAATTCAGTTACTGAAAGACAAAACAAAACTGGATTTTTAACAATTAAGCAAACTTTTTCTCGTGATATCTAGAAATTTAAAAGAATTCTCCATGAAATTCTTTAATTTACGAACCTTTTCCGCCTTAAAAATGATTTGGATGCTTTACTATATACAGTGCGCATCAAAACAAACATTTACTAATACAAAACCATATTTTACAAATTGTTTAATTGATATATGACAGGAAAAACGAGGGGCCACTTTTCAAGGCATGAAAGCAAGCTTGAGGATTTTACATCAGATTCGGCGAGACAATAATCTCCAGTTAGCTTTCTGTGTGTTATGTACTCGATTTATAATTACAATTAAAGAATTATTATTATACAGTGAATCCCAGATATATGAATACAATAGCAAGAGTCTTTTATAATGTTGTATTACATATTTAAGATCAAATGCCGCGGAAAAATGAGTTTAATATTAATATATCAATAGCATTCATATTTCAGGGCTATTAATATACCTTCAGTTAAAAATAAAAAGAAGTTTCTTTAGAATTTTCAAAAAACTTATGACGGTCTATGTATTCATATATCTGGAATTCACTGTAATTACAATTAAAGAATTATTATTAGTATTACAATTAAAGAATTATTATTTTAATTACAATTAAAGACTTATTCTTATAATTAAAATTAAAGAATTATTTATTTCAATTACAATTAAAGAATTATTATTATAATTAAAATTAAAGAATTATTATTTGGAACATTTATGTAACATTTACTCTTACACATATTGTCAAAATGTTAAGTGAGAAACACGTTTTAATATCATAATACTAAATCATTTAAACGCCATTTTAAACTGTCGTCTTTACTTTCGTGTATACAGTATAAACGATTGTCCAGGTTTAAAACCTGAGAACACTTCAATATTTTGTAAAACTGTATAAATATTATAAATAAAAATAAAATATATAAATTGTAGAATTAATTTACGAGTATGGAAAACCATGGAAAAAAGTTATCAGCATTTTTATTTGAACTTCTTTCATAGCGTTCTAAACTTCACAAAACTACGTCTGTGTGGTTTATTTTATTAACATATATTTTACTTTGAAATCAATCTTACAGGGTGTCCCAAAAAACATGGGAATTCAGTGACGAATTGGATATCGTCTTTGTTATGAATTAGCATTGTAATACCTAATTTCAATAGCCATAATATTATTATGTCTGCTAGAGTTTATTTTATGAAAGGAGTAAAAGACTGTAAAGATGTATCTATAATGTCTCCACAAGATGAACAGTAAAGACGGACAAGTTTTCTCTGTATGTATCCTGCAATTTTCTTGTTTTACTAAGTACAACCGTATGCAGTCAAAACATAAACAAACAAAATGTGAACATAGCAGACAAAACACTTACAGATTACAGCTTTCTCATTAGGTTTCACTATACTAAATCGAAGAATTATTTAAAAAGACGATATCGAATTCGTCACTGAATTCCCATGTTTATTGGGACACCCTGCACTATAATGTTTTATTATTATTCTCTTTGATATAGACATTTAAAACTATTCACTAACTGTCATGTTTCGTGGGACACCCGTTTAGAGTTTAGTATATTACCACACCACTCATATTGAATGATTGTTATCAGATTTGAACCCACCCTGTCAAAGTTAGAGAATATTTGACTACAGTATTTATAAAAGTACAATTTATAAATTTTCATGAAAATTTTTTTTAGGGTGAATGTAACAGTATTTTGAATTCGCAACGTTAAGTTAAACAATGCCATTTTTTGTGCACTTGCGGTAAAATACTGTTTTATTTTTGTTGATTTTGATTTGTAAATTAAAATATTACAATACAGTAGGTGTAGGTTTTCATTAGTTTTACTTGAGCTCGCAGTAAATGAAAGAAGTAGTTGTAAAGTAAAAAGGGTGTGTGAAAAAATTCTCTTAATTCTTATAATTTCCTTCCTTGTTTCTGTAACAAGAAATCCGCTTGCCCCCCCCCCCCAAGTTCAAATGTTTGGGATTTCAATCTTTATTAATCAAGGAATGAGAGACGAAAGTTTCTTGGAAAACTTTAACTTTACTTTAGTACTTTGCAGCCAGTTATTGATTAAATTAGTTCAAATTTATTGCTCAATATTCATTCAAAATTTGGACTGATTATAGGGACTGTAAGCGTAATTTCAGCTGACTCTCCATGCAAAGAGAGGAATGCCCGATTTACAACGGTACCCTTGAAACCTAGGACTAGTCGTCAACTTATCTATAAAATGGTGTTCAAATTGCTAAAAAAATGGAGTGTACGCTAGCTTACATTGTGAACTCAGCGCAGTTGACGTCATAATTATTGCTCGAAAAGCTCAAATATTCAATGTTCTCACCGAATTAAAATATGAATTTTTTTTCCTGCGACATATGGGAAATTTTATTAATATTCTTAAATATAAAATAACTTGTAGTTATTAGCAATTAATAGCATTTCTGTAGAGATATAAGTATCATTCCGTCATCCTAGATCAGTGAAAGGATTAAAGGGAACTGTTGTGAATGGGTCACTTGAAATTATTTCTCCAGTCCCTTTAGGCCTAAATTTATCCAATAATATTATTTATGCTGAGCCAGTGCATTTCAGAAAAATAATGGTTCATGTATAAATTTATAATGAAAAATAACAACATATAAAAACTTAACGTTTTGGCATCAGAAAATAAAACTTTTCTTTATATTTTAATCATTAAATTATCTAAAACGACACTTTTTTTTAACTTTCAGGACAATAATGTTTAACTTTGTAAACATTCTCTTTGAACCTGAAACTTTATTGACATAGATTGTGTGTTAGTGGTGTCAAATAAACTAGAAATCCTAAACTTGGTTCAAAACTTTCCAGGACAAATTGTACAGTCCAGGAACCAGGACAGATTGTACAGTCCAGGAACCAGGACAGATTGTACAGTCCAGGAACCAGGACAGATTATACAGTCCAGGAACCAGGACAGATTGTACAGTCCAGGAACAAGGACAGATTGTAAAGTCCAGGAACCAGGACAGATTGTATAGTCCAGGAACCAGGACAGATTGTAAAGTCCAGGAACCAGGACAGATTTTATAGTCCAGGAACCAGGAAAGATTGTATATTCCAGGAACCAGGACAGATAGTATAGTCCAGGAACCAGGACAGATTGTATAGTCCAGGAACCAGGACAGATTTTATAGTTCAGGAACCAAGACAGATTGTATAGTCCAGGAACCAGGACAGATTGTATAATCCAGGAACCAGGGACAGATTATATAGTCCAGAAACCAGGACAGATTGTATAGTCCAGGAACCAGGACAGATTGTATAGTTCAGGATCAAGGACAGATTGTATAGTCCAGGAACCAAGACAGATTGTAACCAGGACAGATTGTATAGTCCAGGAACCAGGACAGATTGTATGGTCCAGGAACCAGGACAGATTGTATATCCCAGAAACTAGGACGGATTGTATAGTCCTGGAACCAGGACAGATTGTATAGTCCAGTTTAAGGGCAGAAAAACTGAAAAACAACCACATCTTCCTAAAGAAATTGAGTTTTTGCCTCAAACTCAAATTTCAAATCTGTTCATATTTGCAACCTGATGGCGTAAAGCTTTGACTTTTTAACCCTTGATTATTTGTTTTAACGGAAATCATAGTTTGAAATATCAAAGATCTACGACATTGGTTCGTGATATATAGAGCCAGAGATTATAAAATCAGAGTTTGTGTCCAAAAAAGTCAATTCCTTCTACTCAGTTTAAGTTTAAAAGGCACCTTTGTGAATCTGACTTGAACTCTACGGTCTAAAATCCATTAAAAAGTTTTTAAATTATGGAAGAGCTAAGAAATGTTTAATGTCAACTTTAATAATAAAAATTAATTCTAAAAATCATGAAAGGATTTCCGCTGAAAAGAATTCATCTATCGAATATTCATGTCACAATTTTTTCTTCTAAATTGAAACTGAAACTTTGAAGATGATTTATAGATTTCTGGTTGAATAGAAAGGGATTTCTGTAGACTGATGGAAGTTGAAGGGGGGTTTAGGGGGTAAAATGGGGGAGGGGGGGTACTTTAAGCTTTAAACTCATATAACTTTTAAAGAAGTGAACCAAAGGAAACCAAGTGTATAAAAGAGTACTTTTTTAATAAATTGATATTTTTTAGTTCTTATTTGTTTTGTTCTAATTCTAGATTTTTGATTACATGTTAATTAATTTCTTAAAAGTTTTTTTAGAAGTATTCTTGTTCATAATGATTTATAAACTATTAACTAGAACTACAATGATGATATTTTTTTATTTTGAAAATGGTGCCAACATTTTTTTTTGAGGATAAAGATATTGAAAGATATTGAAACTATCTAATAAACAAATTCGTTCAGTCTTTTTTTTTAATGCACACATTGTTCCTGGAGAATGAATATTTTTATTGGGACACCCTTTATAATGAATATTTTTATTGGGACACCCTTTATAATGAATATTTTTATTGGGACACCCTTTATGATGAATATTTTTATTGGGATACCCTTTATAATGAATATTTTTATTGGGACACTCTTCATAATGAATATTTTTATTGGGACACCCTTTATAATGAATACTTTTATTGGAACACCCTTTATAATGAAAATTTTTATTGGGATACTCTTTATAATGAATATTTTTATTGGGACACCCTTTATAATGAATATCCTTATTGGGACACTCTTTATAATTAATATTTTTATTGGGATACCCTTTATAATGATT